TGTGTGTGCGTTGTTTGAGTTATGTCGCATGGTTGGATTCTAAAGCCATCAAAATAATCAATTTTGTGATTTACTGCTATGATTAATAATTGTCCCAGTAAATGCCCAAACCCTACAGAACTGGTGCCTTCAGAGAGCCACTACATTACATTTTGGCTATGGCAACGTTACATAACATAATCTTTTTCCATGCGTTATGACGCATTATGACGTTTTTTGATGTGACACGCCCACCGCGTTGTATCGCAGTGTACCTCGCTAGTTTTTAATGGTTGCATCTTTTTTGTATCTTGTCTGTTTTTCTAAAACTCTCTTTAAGTAAAGGACAAAGGTATAAGAATCCCAAGTTATTTTAAAATTAGATTGACCTAATTATAATTGTATAAACTAAACTACCTAATGATATCAACATATTAATTTCAAAGACAAGGAACAACAGAAAACTTCAGGTAACAATTAACAAGTGAATATTGTAAAATACAGCTTAGTGAGTCACTTATCTGGACCCAGAATCTGTTCTGTGTTCTCTTTCAACACAGGATACATCTGATGGACAAGAAAAGATTCCTCTCATCTTAGCTACCTTTATGGGCAGCTCTTCACAGTGACCTCCGAGGCCGCTGAGTGCAGAACAGTAGCTGTAGCTCTTATAAATCCAAAGAGATAGAAAGGGTGCACTAGAGGGAACAGGGTCAAAGGGTTAAAATAACAGCTTCAATTAATGAACAGCTAAATTTATACTTAAGCTATTACGAAGGAAATTCAGTCTTTGATACATAAAGAAAAATATGCTTTTTAGAAAGTTGGAGAAAAAATCTTGAATTTGATGGCTTTTTAACAAGTATTAAATAGGGTTTGTCTAAAGGTATGAATAAGGGGGTTAGTGAGACCAGAGTAGAAAGAGGATTTCATAGGATTCATAGGATATCCCTTAACATAGGAGTTATCTCTACACAATGACTTCAGATCATGAGCTGGATTGTTCTAGAAACATAATTGCAAATTAAATTATACTGAAAAAGCACAGACAATAAAAACATAATTGTTAAGGTAACGTATGAGTTAGTCATTTAATTATCACCTTGTTACAGTGCAATGCAACTAAATACTACCTGAAATTGCCTCAAAATGTGGCCTGTCTGTATAATGCTTCGCCACTTATATTAATTTATACGTTTCTCCACAGATGCCGTGAAAGTGCAGGGCTTGTTGCTTCAAAGAAGGCTTCTGGTCTTGGCAATTTTGCTGCTCCAGTTTGTGTTGCCACTGTTTTGGAAATAGCTCACAGCTGCCAGATACGGTTTCTCTGGGGTATAGCAGTTCTGACCACTGTCTGGATGGTTTCAATTTGTGTTAGAAAAGCTCTAACTGAATTATTGTCTCTTTCTGCAGCAAAGAAAGAAAGGTATAAGGAGGCTGAAGGGATGGCATCTTCAGGTTCAGCAGTGTAAAAACAATATGTAGTGTGCTATTTACAGGTCATTAGCCTCATCCCACCAATGGGCAAAAACTCAGACCTCCCCCATCTGCCAAATTTGCGTCTTTTATTTTACAAAGTTTGACAGAGAAACATAGAAACATGAGCAATTACCTCAAAAAGGAGAAATGAAATGAAAATGAATGAAATGAAAAAAAAAGTACATAAATCTGTAAATCTGAGAGAATAATGCTTCTTCATTTTATTACTGTAGATGGATACATTTTAATGGAGTTCCTAACACAGGATCATCCTCAGACATGCATTTAAATTTGTGTAGAATGTGCCACCCTTCATTCCATTGTCCTGCATTGAAACAATAGTCCTAACTACTACCAGAGCCTGCTACAGTACCATTTTTCATCCTACTGTTGTCTTCTGCTATACTTTTCACTCACCAAACACTTCATGTCATCATGGACCTAGAACAATCAGACTGAGAGTGTTTATGAGTTAAATTTATGAATGTTTTTCAGGGATCCATCTCTCCCTCAAATTCACCTTTACTTTACAGTATGTTCCCCATAGCATTTCTGTTCAGTCGTGATTTTTTTTTTACTTTAGCATCACCATTTTTGGAATCAGGATTTTTTTTTGTCATACCTACTTGATTAGGAATCATCAAGTGGTGTGTTATTTTGTCATTTTTAATCTCGGCTTGCAGCTACACTCTAGAACTGCACACAGCAGAGAATGTAGAAGTGTAGGCAAGTCCTCTAACCTGATCACCTTTTAGCACTTTGTCTTTTAAAACACTATAGGCATCACAATTCCATTCAGAACTTTTAATGCTGATTCAAGGAGAAGTGTTTTTCTTCTTAATAGGAACATGCCTACACCAGTCACCATGTCACTGAGAGCCAAGGATGCTCTTGTCAATCACAATCTGCCCACTAGAAGAATCCTGTTCATGGGTGACTTGTGTTGGTGCTCGGGTTCTAACCCCCCCTTGACTCCTGGATCATAGAGTTCAACATAATCTACAATTAACTAACCCCTTTACTGATAAATGTCTAAAAGTTCTCTTTTTGAACTATTTTATTCCCCCCTTACTTGCATGCAATATTTCTGTTCTGACACTGTACCTGCACATCATCTGGCTCCCAGCCTTATCAGGCTACCTGTTTACCTGCAGATCTTTAATATGCACTGTAGGGCCTCAAGTGTGCCTCCATATCTCCATCCTCTAATCACTTTTCCTTTGATTTTGCTATCCTGCCCTTTTCTATCAGTGGAACTCTAAATGTGTGGCTACAGGTCAGTGTAGCCCTTGCATTGACCTATTTGGTCTTGTTTCCCAACTAACCCACCTCTCTTCCCTATCAGTCCGAATTTTTCCCTACAAATCTCTAGCCTCTGCCCTGTATGTATCCTCTGCAGAAGCGGGCTGTGGTGCCCCACATGCAGCTTGTCCAGCCTCATAACTGATTTAACATTATCAATATATTTATGGTAAAACAAATAAGTGAAGTTGTCCTTCTATTAATTATTAATCCAAAAATGATCTGCAGTGCCATTTCATATCTCATTGAAATTAGAATGTGTGTTGTATTGTACAAGTGTAAATACACATTACAATACCTGTTAAATGTCGTTTTTGCACATACCAGTTTAGGAGAAATTTGTAGCAATCACAGTCTAGAATCGCAGAATCGGAAAGATCTCAACAATTATGCAAAAGTACACAACATGAACGGCAAATGCCTATAATCACAGAAATACCCCTAATTAGGTTGTATTAAATGTTGAATATTTTAGACATTTGTGCACTGTTTCTAGGTTGTCTTAAAACTACATATATTGCTTATGTTTTTTTAGATTATATATACTTCACTTATATATACAGTATATACACTTCACCTCACAGGGTACAGTATCAAAGAAAGAATCTAAAACAGATACCAGACAAAGTTTCAGATTTTGCAGAAATTCCTGGTGATCTTCTACTGTCCGATCCTGACTATTGCTGTTGCAGATTGGTTTTCCAATTAAGCACTCAGTTTTCAGCAATAAATGTATTTAATACAGATTAGATCTTTACCTTTGCCTTCAAGTCTTCAATAATCCTGGGGTATTATTGACAAACTGTCCCTTTGAAACATACATGTACTGTATGTAATTAATCATGTTACAGGTCATTTGAATGTAGTGAAATGTAGCTATAGTGAGTGCCAAAAACAAATTTTAAATAAAAGTAAAATGTCTTCTCGTTCCACATTAAAAAGACCTTTATTACAGTTGCTTAATGTAAACTGAAATTATTGTTCTTCTGGAATTTCTTGCAAGATTTAACAATAATTTAGCTTGAACATTGACATTTCTGAAACTATGTCTTCTAAGACTTGAGCCTAAAAAAGCTTTGAAGTGCCAGCTTGATTTTTTCATTCCTTAGACAGTATATAATAGGGTTGAACAAAGGCGTGAGGAAATAGTACACTGCACCAATGAAGATGCGTCCATCAGAAGGAATACTCTCCACTCTCAACCCAATATACACCACAGAATTGGACACATAATATAGAAAGACCACTGTCATATGTGAAGAGCACATTGAAAAGGCCTTCTTACGGCTTTCCACAGTTTTCAGTCTCATTATTGAGGCTATGATTCTGCAGTATGTCCATAAGACATAGAGAAAAGGGACATAAATTGCGATCATGGCCATTATTAGAGTAAAATTGACTTGAACAGTAACATCACCAGAAGCTAATAACATTACAGTGGGGTAGTCACAGACAATGTGAAGGATAAGGTTTGAACCACAGAATGGCAAAGTGCTGGCCGGTGCTACAGACAAAATAGGAACAAAGAAGCCCAGTACCCAAACTGTGGATGTCATTGTAATACAAACCTTTGTGTTGATGATGGTGTTGTAATTCAGTGGTTTCACTACAGCAATATATCTGTCATAAGCCATGGCAGCAACAAGGAATCCCTCAACAGCTGTAAATGAGATGAGAAAATACATCTGTACAAAGCAACCTGAGAAGGAGATGGATTTATGACCTAAAAGCCCTGCTAGCATCTTCGGTATGATGGTACTAGTCAGCAGTATATCTAAGACAGCCAGGTTCCACAGGAAGAAGTACATGGGCATGTGCAGCCGGTGGTCCAGGGATATTAACACCACGATGAGCAGATTACCAAGGAATGTGGCCAAGAAGAGGATTAGGAAGAAGATGAAGAGTGCAGTGCCCTGTTCCTGTAGGATTGGTAGTCCAGCAATGATGAACTCAGAGTGCAGAGTGCTGTTAGTTCTACTCATGGCTCAGAAGTCATGGGTACCTTGGACGAAATGGACATACAGCAAGTTATAATTTATTTAGAAAGTTAACTCATAAAGAATCATAAAATATAGCAATCAATTATGATGCTGACAAGAAACAACAACCAAAACCAGCAAGAGCTTTGCTGGTCCATTTATAAATCATCACTAGATGTCATGAGTACAATATGCTACAAAGAACAACCAGTATTCAGCCCAGAAGCACTAAACATTGTACTAGTCCTATTTAAAGTCACTGCAAAACATGACTGCAAATCTTATTACATATATCAGCTAAATTTCCAGTATTCTACTGAAAGTGTCTCTACATTGTTAACATCATGACTCAGTGGCATTGGGTTTAATGGAACTGTTTCGCAAAGCAGGTTTAAATAATTCAGGATTTACTCAAATCAAAAGTTTTGATTTTGGTTTCAGTATGCCAAAATTGCATCTTTCCAATAAAAATGATCAACCAACCGTAAAAGGTTTTGGAGATCTCTAAACTTTCATTTTCTCCATAAAGCTCTGTCAATTAGAAGCCTGAAGAAAATTTACATCAATTTTTTTTCAGGGGACTGTTTGGTCTGTATGTCGAGTTATAAACTCCAAAGTCAGTTTAGGTTTAACTTAACCTGCCCCTGATTACTCTCTGGTTACTCTCTGGCAACCTCCGCTCTAGACTCTTAGAACAAAGGAAAGTTCTGGCACGGGCACACTGGCCGTTCCGTGGTTGTCCGGGTTGAGTCTCAGGATGGTCAGGAGGTGCGCTGCGAGAATGTCCTGCCCTTGGGAGCCTTCCTGCTCTTGGGCCGTCCTGCCCTGGAATCGTCCCGCACCCCTGGAATTCTCCTTAGAATTCTCCTACTGGAAAAGTCCAATAGTTCTCTCAGGCCCTCTGTGTTGCCTGTTTTTACCTGGAGGAACTTCAGCTCGTTCATTGGCTGAAAGATCCATGGGCATCAGAGTCCCACGTGGGTTACTCGGCCCTACCAGTCCCTGATTGGTTGATCAAGGTGAGATAGGAGTCACTTACTCCTGACACTTAGGAATGCAGTCCAGATGTCCATCTGGCACTCCCTAGACAGATAGGCGCCAATGGATGACTATTGATTATGATAGCCAGGCTTAGCTAAGTGCATCCCCCTTTGGGAGCTGTCCCTTATCAAAAGAAAACATCTTTAAATCAGCCTGCATGAATAGCTTCTCTGTGGCTGCACCACAGAGATGAACAGAGAGATGGAGCCTCATTTGGGAAAGCACAGCAACACTTAATTTTGCCTTATTAACAAGCATTGCCGCTACACTGGCTAAATGACTGAATTATAAATATACTATATATAAATAGAAAATACACTGTATTGTAATTTATTTTCATGCAGAAGAAATGCAATGCTCTTTCTTTAACTTCATTAGTGTTCTAACATGTCTCTTACTGATTTTATTGTGCAGATATGTGACCTAGCATTGTGCAGATTTGTGACAAAATAAAGATCAAACAAAGCAAAAAAAAATTGGAAATCTTTCTTATTTCAAGTAAGACAATGATTAATATATTCACTGTTTGCTTCAGATTAACCCAGACATTACAATGTGAACACAAATACAATACAATACAGTATTATCCAATTGACTCATTCACTGAAAAGTCTAAAAAATATGAACAACTTTAATTCCAGCAAAATATGCCAAATGTAGCTGATTGGTGTGAAATGTGCCAAGAATATTAGATGCTCACAATTTAATATTGTCAGATTATGATAGCATTTACAAAAATAGTTTTTGGAATACCCCGCTCCTTATTATGGAAATCTCTCCAGAGCAAATGTAGAAGACTGTATAAAAGGCCATCAGATACTTGGAATTGTCTCTTGTCTGACTTTATAAATTATTTTACACTTTATCTTTATTATTTGAACTGTTATATTCTTTCTAATGTTATTTTAAGAAAATGACAGATATGTAGGTATCTGTTTTTAATATGTTTTACATAGTTTTAATTTATAATTCAACATTTTACTATAATATTTTATTGTATTTTTTCTATTGACCTTTCTCTGCCATAACAATATAATAAAACCAAGTTTAAATTAAGTTGATAAAATACATATGGCTCACCACATGAGATCTACTGTACATATTTTTTTCAAAGACACTGAAAAACAAAAAGCTTCAGGTATCTATTAACAGTTGGATTTTCTAAATATGAAATACAGTTCAGTGAGCTCACTTACCCGGAGCATGAATCTATTCACTGTGCTCTTCAAGTACAGAACACACTTGTTGGATGAGAAACTCTGCCTCCCATTTCAGCTGTTTTTACGGGGCAACTCTTCCCAGTGACCTCAGAGGCTAATGAGTGCAGAGCTGTAGCTGTAGCTCTTATTAATCCAGAGAGACAGAAAGTGAGAGATAAAGGGAAGGGACCCAAAGGATTAAGAGAAAGAATGAATCACTTAATGAACCATTAAATTTATACTTAAGCATTAACAAAGTAAATTCTATCTTTCCAACTCATTCATCAAGTGAAATATACAGGAAAATATTTGTATAACAGAAATTAATCTGTACAAACATTTATTATAAATGTAAAAAAAAAGCTCTGCAGAAACTTGAAATCAATAGCCTTTTAACAGAACATTAAGCAGGTGTTTGTCTAAAGGTGTGAGTAAGGAGGTCAGCAGGACCAGTGTGGACAGTGCTTCAACACAATAATTTCAGATTATGAACTGAACAGTTCTAGAAATGGGACATAATTGCTATTGAAAATATACTACTATTATTGCTAAAGTAGTGATAGATAATTAAAATATACTGAATTTAGGATTAATTTTAAGAAAAAAACTTTTTTCTAATGGTGATGTGTAAGTTACTCATTAATTACCTTATTATGACCTTACTACGGTGTAATGTACCCAAATACTACATGAATGTCCCTCAGAATTTGAAGATTTTGATATAGTAAAACTTAGTGAAATTCAATACATCATTTCTTAGAATTGCAATCTGTCCATGATTTAATGAGACAACCTTTATTTGTCGAGACGTGACCCCACTGACACAAAAAAGGATATTCATGCAGTGCTTCAACAATGCATTATATATTACGCCATAATTTATTTTCAGATTCGTTAAAAGTGAAATTCCTTTGGAGATATTTTGTTGAGTCCTGAATGACACCCTAGACACCCAAGGGCAGGGACTATGTAGGGAAGACTTCTGGCTTTGGCACTGTTGATGCTGCACTTACTGTCTGTGATGTCACTGTTCCTGAAGTAGCTCAAAGCCGTCAGTTTTATCTTAGGTTCATTGGAGAGAAAAAAAAAGATAGAGGTAGGCAAAAGGTTGCGTTCTTTGGCTTTTTCAGAGTTTAAATAATATTCAACATACCAGTCCAGGATGTCCAGGTCAGTAGCCTCTCCCCTGCTGTGGGCATAAATTCCTAAAGAGACTGACAGTCAAATAATCAAATTTTGTAAAAGAAAGGATAAAAGAAGAGATAGAAATGTGATCCGAGACACCTCCAAAAGGGAAACGGCAGTTTCCAACAAAAAAAAAAGGAAATATATGTAAAGTACATTTATCTGAGAAAAAAAGGCTTCTTCACGTTACTAGTTGGATACATTTTCATGGCATTCAAAACTTCCTTGAATTAATTGCTACTCACTCACTTTTTCTATGCCTATAGTTCCGACTTCTACCCAGGCCTGCTACTACTGCATTATTTTATAATAATAAGCTTTACTTTATATAGCACCTTTGATGGTGGCTTCTCAAAGCACTTTATAGAATGACAACAACAATGAAAAAATACCCAAGATATGCACAATGAAAATACACAATGAAAGTAGACAGTAGATTGGGTTACAAAACACAGTAGGGGCAGAGAGGTAAAAAACAGAACCAGTTAAGTAACAGTTCTTCTAAATAAGGATTTGAGTCTAGATTTGAAGAAGTTTAGAGAAAGTGACTCTCTTCTATCCTTAGGGATAGAGTTCCAGACCCTGTCATCCATAGAGTGTAGGCAGGCTTGGAGGACAGATAGGGGACCAGAATTAGAAGAGAGAAGATTGCAGGGTGGGGAGTAGGAAGATAGTAGCTCAAACAAGTACTGAGGTGCCAAGCCATGCTGAGCCTTTAGGTTACCATGAGGATTTTAAAGTCTACACAAAACCTGACAGAAAGTCGGTGCAAGGACTCCACTATAGAGTGATGTGATCCCATGCACTAGACCTGGTCAGGATTCTGGCTGCCAAATTTTGGACATACAGTACTGCAGTTCGTTCAATGTGGATTAAAAAACTCCAGCGATCAGAGGGTAACAGTAGTCAATTTGGGAGAAGACAAATCTATTGATCAGCTTTTAGGCAACAGTTAGCAATAACATAGAACATAATCTGGTGATATTCCTGAGATGAAAGAACGATGTTTTGACAATATGTTGCACATGTGAGTCGAATGTCAAACCTGAATCAAATATCAATTCAATTTAGACTGAAGTTCAAGTACAGTACCATCCACTGATAGAGCTACAGCATTGGCTTTACTAAGTTGAATGTGTAGGGGTTTTGTGAATTTCCTGAAACAATTTATAAATTGTAACTGTAGATCACAAGGTGATTCTTAATGGCTATTAGATGATCATTCATCAGAACAATCAGCAACGCACACACATGGATTCAAATACACAGAATACATTTAATGATACATAAAAACGTGCATATAAATACATAGAACAGTCTGCCTGGATACAGATGGCAGATCATACTGTGAGGGTTGTCAGAATACAAAAGATATTGTAATGCTTTTGGGTTCACGTGGGTATGCACTTTCGCCGCTGCCTCCTCAGGTCAGCCCCCCGCTGGGGACTCAAACCTGGGCTTCCTGCATCACTCAACAGGGAACCAGCCAGCTGAGCTAAAGGGAGATCACCCATCAGCCTGGCGGCTGAGGTCCCTGTTATTCACAGGGAAGGTCGGTGATGTCACCGCGCTGGCAAG